ATGGTACAAAATACCCAGGCAGGTGCTTAGTTTTGGTGGGGCTGATGGTAAGGCCCCACCTCTTAGTGGCACGCTCCATTCTCAGCAGCAGCGTCTCTAACTCCTCCTCTGAATGAGCAGCTATTACCAAATCATGGGCATACATAACGTGGTTGAGCAATAGGGAGCCATCCCTTGACCGCACCCGGGCATCGATCAGCCTCCCATTATATCTGTACCAAATGGAAATTCCTCCGGAACAGCTATTGAAGGCTTCACGAACTACGTGGTCAAAATAGATGTTAAATAATGTGGGAACCAGAGGACATCCCTGTCGCACCCCAAGGTGTACAGGGAATGGCTCTGACTCCCGGCCACGTAGTTTTACCTGGGCCCGCTCACCATCATGAAGGTCCTTAATGATCATGAGCAGAGGGTCAGGGACTCTGAAAGCACGAAGAACAACCCAGAGCCCAGGCCTACTGATGGATTCATAGGCCTTGACCAGGTCAATAAAGCAGAGATGTAGGTCTTGTTGGAATTCCCTACACCTCTGCTGTAGCAGACGGACAGAAAATATGGCATCTGTGCAGGACCGCCCTTTCCTGAAACCGCATTGGGGCTCCGCAAGCCTCTCCTCAGCGTGCCTGGCAAGGCGATGTTGAATAATCCTGGCCAGGACCTTTCCCGCACACTGAGGAGCGAGATGCCCCTGTAGTTGTTACAGTCTGTGCGGTCCCCCTTCTTAAAGAGGGGGGTCACCAGGGCATCCTTCCAATCCTGTGAAACCCATCCAGTGGTCCAGACTGTTGTTATGATATCATCTAGGGCAGTCTGTGCACAAACGCCACCCTCCCTCAGCATTTCGCTTGGGAGATCATCTCTGCCCGGTGCCTTTCCTGGTCTCAGACTCCGGATCGCCTTCAGTACTTCCTCAGCAGATGGCACCTCAGCCAGCCACTCACAGGGGGTGACTTCTTCCAATATTTGAGGCACCGTAGCCTCAGCAGGGTCATCCCCACTTTGTGCCACGATGTTTTCCTGGCTGAGGGATTTCTGTGAGGTCCCCAGGACCTCACAGAAATGCTCAGCAAATCTGCAAACCTATTCCTGGGGGTCGGAGAATGGATCACCGTATTTTCCCCTAATGATGGTAATAGGTGTGGCGCTGCAGGTTACTTTTTTGATGGAGTTAAATAGGGATTTGTGATCACGGGCCACTGAGGCAGACTCCATCTCCTCAATAACCCGCGACCACCACCCATCCTTGCAGCGCCTCACGGCTCTCCGAACCTCCTGCGGTAAGCCTCCTCATTCTCTGACGTGGGATTCTGTAGCCGATGACAGTGGACCTGTCGCTTTTTCTCAACTATCCTGAACTCCTCTGTCAGCTATAATGTACACCACCCTATACACACATCTACACACACACATGTACACTACCATATACACACACCAACACACTCTCATATACTCATACACACCTGTACACACCTGTACACACCTGTACACACCTGTACACACCTCTACACACCTCTACACACCTCTACACACCTCTACACACCTCTACACACCTCTACACACCTCTACACACCTGTACACTACCCTATACACACACCTGCACACACACCTGCACGCTACCCTATAAAGATAAAGATCCCCCGTATAGCCTTAACAGACTGAAGACTGAAGGGGGCAAGTGCTGTTAGCGAGCACCTATGAAGGCCGGAACGGTACACGAGGGGGAGGGTGGCCAGCACCACGCCCGACCGCCTTTGTCTCCCCAGTGGCAATGTTTACACACCGCACCAGGTACTCATTTGAGGCTGAGTCGACCTAGGGGAGGCCCGGGACCGGTTCAGATAATCGTCACTGGTGTTGGCCGTGAGCGGGAATCGAACCCGGGTCGCCAGGTTCATAGCGCAGCGCGCTAACCGCCACACCACCGCTCCCCACACACCTACACACACATGTACACTACCCTATACACACACCAACACACACATGTACACTACCCTATACACACACTTACACACACATGTACACTACCCAATACACACACCAACACACACATGTACACTACCCTATACACACACCAACACACACATGTACACTACTCTATACACACACCTACACACACATGTACACTACCCTATACACACACCAACACACACATGTACACTACCCTATACACACACCAACACACACATGTACACTACCCTATACACACCCCAACACACACATGTACACTACCCTATACACACACCTACACACACATGTACACTACCCTATACACACACCTACACACACATGTACACTACCCTATACACACACCTATACACACATGTACACTACCCTATACACACACCAACACACACATGTACACTACCTTATACACACACCTACACACACATGTACACTACCCTATACACACACCTACACACACATGTACACTACCATATACACACACCTACACACACATGTACACAACCCTATACACACACCTACACACACATGTACACTACCCTATACACACACCTACACACACATGTACACTACCCTATACACACACCTACACACACATGTACGCTACCCTATACACACACCTATACACACATGTACACTACCCTATACACTACCCTATACACACATGTAAACTACCCTATACACTACCCTATACACACATGTACACTACCCTATACACTACCCTATACACGCATGTACACTACCCTATACACTACCCTATACACACATGTACACTACCCTATACACTACCCTATACACACATGTCCACTACCCTATACGCTACCCTATACACACATGTACACTACCCTATACACACATGTACACTACCCTATATACTACCCTATACACACACCTACACACACATGTACACTACCCTATACACACACCTACACACACATGTACACTACCCTATACACACACCAACACACATGTACACTACCCTATACACACACCTACACACACATGTACACTACCCTATACACACACCTACACACACACATGTACACTACCCTATACACACACCTATACACACATGTACACTACCCTATACACTACCCTATACACACATGTAAACTACCCTATACACTACCCTATACACACATGTACACTACTTTATACACTACCCTATACACACATGTACACTACCCTATACACTACCCTATACACACATGTACACTACCCTATACACTACCCTATACACACATGTCCACTACCCTATACACTACCCTATACACACATGTACACTACCCTATACACACATGTACACTACCCTATATACTACCCTATACACACACCTACACACACATGTACACTACCCTATACACACACCAACACACATGTACACTACCCTATACATACACCTACACACACATGTACACTACCCTATACACACACCTACACACACATGTACACTACCCTATACACACACCTATACACACATGTACACTACCCTATACACTACCCTATACACACATGTAAACTACCCTATACACTACCCTATACACACATGTACACTACCCTATACACTACCCTATACACACATGTACACTACCCTATACACTACCCTATACACTACCCTATACACACATGTACACTACCCTATACACTACCCTATACACACATGCCCACTACCCTATACACTACCCTATACACACATGTACACTACCCTATACACACATGTACACTACCCTATATACTACCCTATACACACACCTACACACACATGTACACTACCCTATACACACACCTACACACACATGTACACTACCCAATACACACACCAACACACACATGTACACTACCCTATACACACACCAACACACACATGTACACTACCCTATACACACATGTACACTACCCTATACACTACCCTATACACTACCCTATACACACATGTACACTACCCTATACACACACCTACACACACATGTACACTACCCTATACACACTTACACACACATGTACACTACCATATACACTACCATATACACACATGTACACTACCCTATACACACACCTACACACACATGTACACTACCATATACACCCACCTACACACTTATGTACACTACCCTATACACTACCCTATACACACATGTACACTACCCTATACACACACCAACACACACATGTACACTACCATATACACACACCTACACACACATGTACACTACCCTATACACACACCAACACACACATGTACACTACCATATACACACACCTACACACACATGTACACTACCCTATACACACACCAACACACACATGTACACTACCATATACACACACCTATACACACATGTACACTACCCTATACACACCTACACACACATGTACACTACCATATACACACACCTACACACTTATGCACACTACCCTATACACTACCCTATACACACACATGTACACTACCCTATACACACACCTACACACTTATGTACACTACCCTATACACTACCCTATACACACATGTACACTACCCTATACACACCTACACACACATGTACACTACCATATACACACACCTATACACACATGTACACTACCCTATACACACCTACACACACATGTACACTACCATATACACACACCTACACACTTATGTACACTACCCTATACACTACCCTATACACACACATGTACACTACCCTATACACACACCTACACACTTATGTACACTACCCTATACACTACCCTATACACACATGTACACTACCCTATACACACCTACACACACATGTACACTACCATATACACACACCTACACACTTATGTACACTACCCTATACACACACCAACACGCCCTCACTCTCCCTCTGGCAGTCTCCCTGGCGGCTGTTGCTATGGCGCCCGTTTGTTGACGTGACCGCTTCCCACACTCCATCACCGCCTCTCCTCTTTCTCTCCTCATCCTCACCTCCCTCACCGCCTCTCCTCCTCACCTCCTCTCCTCCTCACCTCCTCTCCTCCTCACCTCCTCTCCTCCTCACCTCCTCTCCTCCTCACCGCCTCTCCTCCTCACCTCCTCACCTCCTCTCCTCCTCACCTCCCTCTCATCCTCACCTCCTCACCTCGCTCACCGCCTCTCTCCCGCCCTCATGCCGACAGAGTGTTCAGACAACGCCAGCGTGAGCTCCGGTACTCACCCATTCACCTCCTAACTCACCTCACTCACCTCACTCACACAGTAAACATGTCGACGTTGCTCCAACGTTTGGCATGCGGTTGATACAGTTGAACCAGCGTTGGCCCAGCGTTCCATGACTACTTGGCACTCACCACCCCACTCGCTCAACCACTCACCACCCCATCCATCAACGCATTCACACACCCACTGACCCACACACCCACTCACCCACACACTCACTCACGCACACAACCACTCACCCACACACCCACTCACGCACATACCCACTCACGCACACACCCACTCACGCACACACCCACTCACCCACACCCATTCATCCACACACCCACTCACCCACACACCCACTCACCCACACACCCATTCATCCACACACCCACTCACCCATACACCCATTCATCCACACACCCACTCACCCACACACCCACTCACGCACACACCCACTCACCCACACACCCATTCATCCACACACCCACTCACGCATACACCCACTCACCCACTCATCCACACACCCACTCACGCACACAACCACTCACCCACACACCCACTCACCCACACACCTACTCACCCACACACCCACTCACGCACACACCCACTCACCCACACACCCATTCATCCACACGCCCACTCACCCACACCCACTTATACACACACCCACTCACGCACACACCCACTCATCCACACATCCACTCATCCACACACCCACTTACCCACACATCCACACACCCACTCACGCACACACCCACTCACGCACACAACCACTCATCCACACACCCACTCACGCACACACCCACTCATCCACACACCCACTCACGCACACACCCACTCACGCACACCCACACACCCACTCATCCACACAACCCACTCACGCACACACCCACACACCCACTCACGCACACACCCACTCATCCACACCCCCACTCATCCACACACCCACTCATCCACACACCCACTCACGCACACACCGTCCCTCCTGTGTGCACCTAAATCCAAGCGTGCGCCGACACGGACTTCCGATGAGCACAGTTGCCTACATACGGTGCGAAAGAGGTTCAACATACAGCAGCTGTACGTACAGTTACCCTCGTGCTCCCCCACCCTGCCCTCTTGCCTTGCTCCCCCCCCCCCTCTGCACCCCTACCTCGCACCCCCCACCTTGCGCCCCTCTTCCCCCCCCCACCAGCCCCCGTGGAGCCCCGCTACGCGAGCGTGGAGCCCCGCTACGCGAGCGTGCACGATGCCGTTCGTGCCGGGGACGCGCCCGCCCTGGAGCTGCTGCACAGGCGCGGAGCGACCCTCTCCCAGCCGGACCCCCTGCACGGCATGAGCCCCCTGCACTGGGCTGCACATGCAGGGAGCCTGGAGGTGCGGGGCTCCCCCAGCGATGTCTGATAAACAAGCGGACACACAGCGCCTGCGTCCACGGTTGTCCGTCTAGTCCGCTCAGATTGCTCGGTGGTATGGCGAGCGGATCCCAATCGGAAGGTCACACACGGGCTCCTAGTGGACTCGGTCCAGTGTTCATTTTCAGAGGGGGGGGGCGAGGGGGGAGGCTACTTTCCCCGATAAGACATCGTCAGTGTGAGGACCGCCACGCATTTTAAACCACTGTTGGGTTTGACAGCACGGCCACGATGATGATGGTGGTTGGGGGGGGGGGTGCTTTCACTTTTGTGTCTTGTCGGGGGCCGGACGTCAGGGGCCGCAGGAAAGGCCACCAGCGCCTTGCAATTGAGAACACTGGCTTAGCCCATCATCCCTCCGGGGTCGATACAATTAAATACTGCTTTACATGGAAGTCAAAGGTGGTTGTCCAATGGATAGACTCGCCGTCGCCATATGATCGTAGATTTTCCATGATTAGATCTACACGGCTGTAAGCAGATGAGCTCCAATGCCTAATTCCTCATTTGAGCAGCAAAGCACTTCGACTTTGTCTTGGAATCAGCGCGTCTGTTCGGGCGGCAGGAATTGGTTCGTACCGAGACGTGATACCGGTATTGTATCGATCTTTATTGCAGTAAACTGCACAGTGTTGATCCACCTGGACTGACTGAGATATATGTTTCAGGGTTTTCCTGTGAAAATAGGTGGCAATCCTATTAATACAATTGCAGTATTTACCAGGGCGGCCTCGCGGCTTCGAACCGCGAACATGTGCGACAAGCGGCGAGCCGTGTTGGTGCGGTGTGAGCACTGGCTGTGTGTGTGTGGGGAGCGGTAGTGTGTGTGTGGGGAGCGGTAGTGTGTGTGTGGGGAGCGGTAGTGTGTGTGTGGGGAGCGGTAGTGTGTGCATGCACTGGCTGTGTGTGTGTGTGGGGAGCAGTAGTGTGTGTGTGTGCACTGGCTGTGTGTGTGTGTGGGGAGCGGTAGTGTGTGTGTGTGCACTGGCTGTGTGTGTGTGCACTGGCTGTGTGTGTATGTGGGGGAGTGGTAGTGTGTGTGTACTTGCTGTGTGTGTACTAGCTGTGTGTGTGCACTAGCTGTGTGTGTGCACTAGCTGTGTGTGTACTAACTGTGTGTGTACTAGCTGTGTGTGTGTACTAGCTGTGTGTGTGCACTAGCTGTGTGTGTGTGCACTAGCTGTGTGTGTGCACTGGCTGTGTGTGTGCACTAGCTGTGTGTGTGTACTAGCTGTGTGTGTGCACTAGCTGTGTGTGTGTGCACTAGCTGTGTGTGTGCACTAGCTGTGTGTGTGTACTAGCTGTGTGTGTGTACTAGCTGTGTGTGTGTACTAGCTGTGTGTGTGCACTAGCTGTGTGTGTGCACTGGCTGTGTGTGTGTGCGCACTGGCTGTGTATGTGCGCACTGGCTGTGTATATGTGTGGGGAGCGGTAGTGTGTGTGTGAGTACTAGCTGTGTGTGTGCACTAGCTGTGTGTGTGCACTAGCTGTGTGTGTGCACTAGCTGTGTGTGTGCACTGACTGTGTGTGTATGTGCGCACTGGCTGTGTGTGTGTGTGGGGAGCGGTAGTGTGTGTGTGCACTAGCTGTGTGTGTGCACTAGCTGTGTGTGTGTGCACTGACTGTGTGTATGTGCAGTGCATGCATTGGCTGCTGTGGCACGGAGCTGACCCAGAGGCGACCGCCGGCCGTGGCTGGACCGCGCTCCACGTGGCGGCTCTGCGTGGGCAGCACGCGTGCGCCCAGGTGAGATGGGAGGGGGGCACTGGGGTTAAACTTAAACATGGCTATCACAACTGATAGCTCAACAAAGTGGCTTATCATGTAAAAATGTATAGCAGTAGCCAAATACTCTCAACGCGTGATGTTGATTCTAAACGTGGGGGGGGGGGGGGGGGGGGGGACCGGAGGAGCCGGAGAAAAATCCACGCGACCACGGGGAGAGAGAGAGAGAGAGACACCCAAACTCCAAACATGCAGCAGCACTCGTCGGGGTCGGGATGGAACCTACGAGGCGCTGCACAGCAGGCGAGAGAGTTCACGTCTCGCCACCGTGTCGGCCCGCAGGCGCTGCTGGCGAGCGGAGCCGACGTGTCCCGACCGGACGCCCGCGGCTGCACGGCCGCCCACCTCTCGGCGGGGCACGGCCACTCCTTCACGCTGCTCACGCTCCTCCGAGCCGGCGCCGTGAGTCGTCCCGTGGCCACTCACCTCGGATGTTTCGGTTCCAAGTTAGAATCAAAGCGATCGGCCACTCGTTCCAATGGCGGATCGAGTGAAACTTTCGCGGGGATTGCGGTGGGGGGGGGGGGTCCTGAAACGTGAAAGCGCTTTAAGAGGGCCAGAGATCACCGACAACATTCAAGGGACTCTTTCTGGTAAACTCGCAGCCCGAACGCCCCTTTACACGTCCTGCCAGCCAGCCAGCAAAACTTTTATTTTCGAAAATACTCCTGTACAGTTGCATGATTTATTATCTCGGTGGATTGGGGGTGGAGGCGGTGGGGTGGAGGGGGCAGCACTCCCATCGCCCACCCCCTCCTCCCCCTCCTTTGATCGGCCCATCACTGCTCCAAGATGCTTGACCACCACCCGTGCCCCCATGCTGCCAAGCACTCCATTCACATCCACCTCGGCTATCACAGCTCGAGACTTTAAATGCGCCTTGCACGAGTTTCTCAGCCAGCAGTGCCCTGTTCTAACCGCCAGAGATGCCCCGAAGGTGCATAGCAAATCGTGGCGACTGCCCAGGGCCCCGCGCATTGGGGGGCTCCACATTTCAACGTCACGGTGATGGCAGATGGAATATATCCCCGGTTAAATTTGAAGGCGTCGGGGGGGGGGGCGGGGGGCACACGGTGGCGTTGGCCCCAGGCCCCGCACCCCCCTATGGATGGCCCTGTAAGGACGGGTCAGTATGTGGTGGGGTGGGGTAGAGTGTGGGTAACTCACACTTCTCCTAACATGTCTGGCCAACGCAGAAGAGTAGGCTAAACACTGTCCGGAGCTGTATGCAGGTACATCCATGATAAAATGAACGCAACTATTTGAAAGTGATGCTCATGGTAATGCAATGACGTTATATTGTTACATAGCAGCGTCCATTCAAGCAGATTGATTCTCAAAATGGTGTTTAAATTGTGACGCGCACACTTTTCGCACAGAGGCGAAAAGGAAACTCACATTAAGACAAATATATTTGATCAGGTAAGGCTGACTGAGCAATACAGCTCGTTTTCAGAAGCGACCTGGTCACAAATGATAACTCAACAAAGTGGTACTTGACGTGGAAATTTATAGCAGCCAAATACTCTGAAAACCACCAAGTGCGTTTGGGAAGACAGCCAGAACCTGCGCTACCAACAGTTCCCCAGACTCTGGGTCCTAAGTCGGCATGATTGTCTAACGCCTCCATTTCTGAGAGATGGTGCATGTGGGGAAGAAACCGAGAGCAAGGAGAAACCCCACGCACGAGAGAGCATATCACTGAACCCCGTGACAAGGGAATCCAAGTGGAAGTTAGTCTACTTGCTGTGCTGCTATCATACGCTGGCAATCCAGGAGATGGGGACCTTGAGTACGGTGTGTGTGTGTGCTGCACCAACCCTCGCTGCCTCCACACTGCTGGGTTATAAACCCGCGTGCAAGAACGGCCGGCAGGGCCCAGTCGCAATGGGCACATTAAGTGGTGGACGTGGCAGCCTGTACCCCTCCAGCGCTGCGGAGGCAGTGGCGTGGTTTGGTGGATCACCGCTCACACACAAACGTTGTTTGGAAAATTCCCTTCCCGCGGGCATCGAGGAGGCGTACCCCGGCTAGCCAGGAGAAGGCGTTGACAGCAACAATGTTGACTCCACCTGTCCTGTCTGTATGGGATAGAGCGTTTTCCCCTCGCACGCGTGGGGTTTTTCCGGGTGCTCCGGTTTCCCTCCCACATGTAAACACCTTCACATATAGAGGACCGCAGTGCTAGGGCAATTGTTGGTGCCTGCTCACCGTGTGGTTACTTCTGCTGCTGCTGCTGCTGCCTTCCCGCTCGGCTGTCCTTCCTCCCCCTGGCGCCTCTTGGAGTCGTCCTCTTGGAGTCGTCCTCTTGGAGTCGTCCTCTTGGAGTCGTCCTATTGGAGTCGTCCTATTTCCGTAGGACAGTGAGCTGATACTGAGCAGTGGCGTTGGTGGCGCTTTGTTACAAGTTAACACCATTGTTGAGACGATCGCCTGTCGGCATGCTAATGTATATTGCATTTCACAGATGGCCAATAGGGGCGGGTAAGAACGTTGCAACACCAAACGGCATAAAAACACAAAAGGAGTGCAAAGTACAGGAAAGTCAAACAAATCACCTAAACACAAATAAAAGTAAACCATCCCCATCATATCCGGCAAAGCCCACTGAGGTATTAAGTTATTTTTCAGAAAGCGACTTGGCCATCACCAATCACAGCTCAACAAAGTGGCTCATGATGTGGAATTTGATAGCAGTACAAATAATCGAAATATTCAATATTCGAGGGCCTGGGGTGCAGCCTCTAAATCCCCCTGCACTGACCCGGCCCTCACTTGCCCATGACCCCCCCTCAACCCCCCCCCTACTCAACCGCCCCGCCGCCCCCCCCCCCACTCAACCACCCCGCTCCCCACTCAGGACGCGAGCGCTCCGGACGCACGAGGCTGGGGCCCCGCTCACTGCGCCGCCTTCCACGGGCGACTCGGCTGCCTGCAGCTGCTGGTGCGATGGGGGGCGCGGCTCGACGACACTGACTCAGCTGGGAACACGGCCGGTAAGGCGAGCGGGGGTGGGGGGAGTCACGGGCGGGGGACGGGGGGAGAGACTCGGGGCACGGGGAAGACGCGAAGAGACGGTGACGAGAGGGAAACCAGGGGAGAGAGGGATACAATCCACGGGGAGACACGGGGAGATGAGGAGAGGGTGGCGACGCAGAGACAAGGGGAGACGCAGGGCACGCGGACAGGGTGGCTAGGGAGAGACACGGGGAGAGATCCATTACACACTGGAGGAGTAGCCCCGTGTCATTGCTCCACCAGCCATCAACCAGCACAGCATGATGACCTCTTGACCTCGACCATCTCTCAAGTTTGATCGGCGTTGACTCACTCCCTACCCCCCCCCCACCCGACCCCTCTCTCCTCTCCCTGCAACGTCCCTCCCCTCTCCCCAGCTCACCTGGCCGCAGCCGAGGGCCATGTGCCGTGCCTGCGCTTCACGCTGGGCGCAAGCCCCGCGGGGGCCCCGGCGGTGCTGGGCGCCCGGAACGACCACGGGGAGACCCCGGAGGACGCGGCGCGGAGGCACCACCGCGCCGCCGCCGTGGAGGTGGCACGGGCTGCCAGGACCCGCCCCCCTCCGGGGGGGCCTGATGAGGGTACGTGTCCAGTTTGAGGGGCGGGGGAGGGGGGGGCCACGGGCGGTGGCGACCGGTGGGTATAATAAATCCATCTGTGTGGCACAAAAGCCCCCGCGGGGGTGGGGGGATGCTAAGGGTTGCCACCTGCCCGGGTTTAACTCGGGCGCTCTTTTGGGGAGTTGGAATGTGTTTGTTTGGGACACCGCGGTGGCTAGGAGATGTTAACTACCTCGCCTGGTGTACAAGAGGTCGTGGGTTTGATCCCGACCCTGACGTCTGCTGCTGTATATTTGGGTTTGCGTGTCTCTCCCTGTGGTCGCGTGGATTTTTCTCCGGGTCCTCCGGTTTTTCCCTCCACATTTAGAATCAACATCACGCGTTTAGAGTATTTTGCTGCCTTACATTTCCACGTGATGATAAGCCACTTCGTGGAGCTAGCATTTGTAATAGCCAAGTCGCTTCTGAAAAAGAGCTACACAGCTCAGTGGACCTTACCTGGTAAAATACAAATTGTTAGAGTTTTAAATAGTTTAGTTTGGGTGACAGCACCAATTGATTTGTATCGAGATTTGGTAACCCATGTTGCTGTGAAGTGTATTGCAGGATACCGCAGCACAGATTTCAACGCATAATTCAGAAACACTGCACTCAATGTCTGTTCTGAAAATGAAGCCAATAGGTTGACGAGTCAAACATGTCTGTGTTTAAACGCGGAGAAACAGAAAGGAGTTGTACTAATAAACTGAATATTCGTTTACCCATAATGCTCTAAAATAGCGTGCAATGAGTTTGCCAGATGGCTGAGCGAGCGGCTCACGATCGAAAGGTCGCGAGTTCATCCCCTCATCAGGAGGTTCACTCAGCCCATCATCTCTCTGGGGTCGATGAAAATTATTCACACATTGCGCGAAAGCCAAGAGCGGTTGTCCAATGGATAGACTCGCCCCGAGTCACAGGAATGTGGAATTTCCGCCACTGTCTCGGGGTTCTATAAACAGACGACCACCAATGGCTGAATGTATGTATATTGAACTTCTATCGCACCATCCGCTCATTTCATCAGGATATCACTTTGGCGTTGATCCCCGCATCTGTTCCATCGCTCTCTGGTCCACCGCACCCCCACCAGACCTGGCGTTCCCTGCGCACGTGGCAGCCCATGCGGGAGACCTGGAGTCGCTTCGTCGCCTCGTCGAGTCGGGGGTCATCACGGTCAATGAGCGGGACGGCGGAGGGGGCACCCCCCTCCACAAGGGTGAGGGGAGGAGGAGGGAGACGAGGCCCAAAACGCCAAGCGGCCAGCAACAAACAGCACCGTTGATGTCGTAACGGACAGACGTCCGTGGCGTTTCTATTTGAATTGAGAGGCACAGTTTGTAAGAACTTGGTAAATGTGACCATAGGATGGCACTTCCGAAGGGAAAATCACTGCATCAGTGCATTAGTATAGGGTAGCCCAGTCTCACGTGGGTTGGCATCGTCTCACCTATGGTTGGCATGGTCTCACTTGGTCTAGCACTCTCCCCTGGTCTGGCATTGCCTCACTTAGGTTGGCATTCTCTCACCTTAATTGGCAGTCTCATACTCACCCTGAGTGCCTGTGTGTGTGCAGCTTCAGTTTGTGTGGTGAGTGGCGCTGGTGTAGCGGTTAGCTCGCTGCACTATGACCCTGGCTACGACCCAAGTTCGATTCCCGCTCACGGCCAACACTGGTGACAATTATTTGAACCGATCCTGGGCCTCCAGTAGGTCGACTCAGGCTCAAATGAGTACCTGGTGTGGTGTGTAAACATGGCCACTAGGGAGACAAAGGCGGCCGGACGTGGCGTTGCCCACCCACGCTTCGTGTGCCGTGCCAGCCATTAATAGGTGCTCGCTAACAGCACTTGCCCCAACAGTCTGTTAAGACTATACGGGGGATCTTTGTTTTTGCAGCTGCAGGACAGGGTCACCTCGACTGCCTCCAGTGGCTGCTGCAAGCCGGAGCGAACGCGCACGCACGGAACGACGCAGGCGAAACCCCCCGTGACACGGCCAAGAGGTGACGCGGGGGGTTTGCTGTGGGGGGGGGGGGGGTGCTGAGTCGGGCTGAAGGAGGAGGAGGTGACGGGGGCAGTGGCTGAGGAGCAGGGCAAGGATGGAGGGGGCAATAATCTGGGTTCACATTTGCGTGACCTTCGCCAGGGTTAGGCTTTGGCCTGTCCTTTCATCTGTCGTGACCTCGGCCTTGCAAACCGCTCAGCTCTCATCCCAATTCGCGACCTCACTGCATAGCTGTTAACCCAAATGGTTTACCCCGTATTCTTGTACAGGAAAATTGAGTTTTCAGGTCCATACGGTGTACAGACGCTTCAATACGGGAACATGTTTTCGTATATTTGTTTGTGTTTCTCAATTGTGATGGGACTTTGTAGGATGAACGTTGATATTTATAAGGGCACGAGGTGACCAATAAGGTTGGAATTGGTCTGTAATAAGTAGGGCACTGATAAGGCGTTGACAGGTATTTGACTCTAACGTGTGTTTAGAGTATTTAGCTGCTATAAATGTCCACGTGATGATAAGCCACTTCGTGGGCCTAATCTGGTAAAATAAAAATAGTTCATCGTTAGTTACACTGCGGACTTTTGACTTCTTCCTTCACCGCTCAGCTCCACTGCTCGTGCCACCACTGGGCCGCCGCGAGCGCCGCACCCGGGCCCCCCCCTACCCCTCACCCTCCCGTCGCGCACTCCTCGCAGGTTCGCTCAGCTGGCGGCCGTGAGACTCCTGGCGGCCGGGCGGATCGACTCCGACTCGGACTCCTCGGAAGGAGAGGCAGGGCCGGCCGGCACCATGGACCGCTCCGACGCTCCGACGCCCTCGGCCGAACAGCGCAGAGCGGCACGACGTGAGCACCGGGGAGCGGGCACATCGCCCGCTCCGCGTTTTTATGAAACTATTAAAACATTTTTTTTTTATTTTAGCAGGTAAGGCCCACTAAGAAGCGACCTGGCTATCACAAATTATATATCAACGAAGTGGATTATCACGTGGACATTTATAGCAGCCAAATACTCTAAATGCGTGATTTTGCTTCTAAATGTGGAGGGAAAAACAAGAGCACCCAGAGACAAATCCACGAGACCACGGGGAGAGAGACGCAAACTCCAAATATACGGGCGCCAGTGTCGGGATCGAACCCACGACCTCCTGTACACCAGGCAAGTTAGTTAACATCTCGCCAGGGCAGGATTATTCATAGATCCCCTATAACCCTTTTTTCCATTGGCATGTCTGAGCCGAGCCAATGCACGGCTGGTTTTACACCGACTATTTGCCATTCTAAGCTGGATCCAAACCCTGATGCACTGGTGATCTCGCAAGGAAGGTATCAGAATTTGGTTTGGGGCCAAGCAAGGCCAGGGGTGATACCGCTTCCCACTTCTCTATTCACACACAGACCCAGGTGTTTTGGCTTGATTGAGACGACTTCTCTGTAAAGACAAAGAACCTCCTCAACAGACTATTGGGGCTCCACGCCCGACCGCCTTTGTTTCCCCAGTGGTAATGTTTACACACCGCACCAGGTACTCATTTGAGGCCGAGTTGACCTAGGGGAGGCCCAGGTCCGGTTCAAATAGTCACCATTGGTGTTGGCCGTGAGTGGGAATCGAACTCGGGTTGCCGGGTTCGTAGCGCAGCGCGCCAACCGCTTCACCACCGCTCCCCACTACACACACCCCCACGTACGCATGCGTGCGTGCCCAGGACGCGCGCAGGCCCGGGTTGCCGAGCTGGAGCGGCTCCTGGGCATCGCGAGGAGCAACGCGAAGCAGCTGGGCGGCGTCGTGCAGGAGGAGGAGCAGCGGCGCGGGGAGCAGCGCCGGCTCGAGCGGTGAGAACGCCGGAAACCCCGGGGGGGGGGGGGGGGGGAGGCTCCCCCGCATGCCCCCTTCCCTCCCCCCCACCACAACCCTCTAACACCAGGGCCCTCCACTGCTCAACCGAGCTAAAACTAAACGAATTTTATTTTGCCGGGTAAGGCCCACTGAGCTGTATAGCTCTTTTTCTCTTTTTCAAAAGCGACCTGGCCACAAATGACAGCTGAACGAAGTGGCTTATTATCAAACAGAAAATGTATAGCAGCTAAATACTCTAAAAGCGTGATGTTGATTCTAAATGTGGAGGGAAAAACTGGAGAACCCGGAGAGAAATCCACTCGACCACAGGGGGAGAGACACGCAAACTCTAAATATACAGGCACCAGGGTCGGGATCAAACCCACAGCCTCCTGTATACCAGGCGAGATAGTTAACATCTCACTACCAGCTGCGTCATCGCGGTGTACTGACTGACATCACGTGCACGTAAACACAACATTTGCCCTGCACCTTGCCCCATCTTGGCCAGGGGTTGCTTTTTACGCTGCATAAGCCGTGCCACTTGATACGGGCCAAGGGATGGGGTTCCATAAGTAGTGGGCGGGGCAGGCAGAGGAGTGAGCAGGGCACTCGCTTTGTGGGCGTGGCTAGTGGTCGAGTGGGCATGGCCATGTAAAAGTGGGCAGCGCTGATGGAGGAGGGGTGGTTCTCGGGGGTCTGCCAGCTCTGAACGGGGTTAGCCTTGCGGTGTGACTGGGCGGACCGCAGGGAGGCGCAGGAGCTACGAGCACAACTCGAGTATGAGCGTCTGCGGCGCGAGGAGCTGGAGCGGCTCCTGGACGAGTCGCGCGGCCAGACTGAGCATCTCAGACGTCTGGTTGAAGAGCTGCAGGGACCCCCGTGCGGCCCCCCTCCTGAGCCGGTGAGACTTGGGGGGGGGGCCTCCGACGACACAGGGGTGCCGCTGTATGGCGAGTGGCCGGTCCTTCTCTGGGACGGCGCTTTCCGCGGGTGAGCGACCGATTCTTTTTGGGACGGCAACCCCAGGTTTGTAAATTGACGTCATCCCTTTTTTGGCCGTTCAAGGGCACTGCCCCGCGAGATGGCGAATTCAATCTGGTGGCGTCGTCCATTGTTCGACAATGATGGGCGATTGGCGGTCGAACGACGTGCTCCACTGTTCGGCTCTGCAGGCGCAGGGGGAATGGCCTTTAGCCTCCGCTTGCGGATCTACCAACACGTAGCAGGAGTGCGACTCGCCAAACTTGCGCTACTGGTAGAGCAATCGCGGAGGGCAGGGCTCGACAGCCGGGGGAGGATTCAGGAGTGAGGGTCTGTGAGAGGATATCGGCGACGTGCAACGAGAACTCGAGCTACGTTCGAGATCTCCCTTTGCGTGGTTGGATCAATAGAGATCGCGCCACAAGCGTGTGCTGGGACTGCTTTTGACAGCATCTGAGCCCCAATTGGTGTCGAAATGGCCGTGGTTAGCACGGGCCTCAGTCGCCCTCTCGGTCACCCGCTTGGTCGCCCACTCGGTTGCCCTCTCGGTCACTCTCCCAGTCACCCTCCCGGTGGCCCTCCCGTTCACCCTCCCGGTCACCCGCTCGATCACCCTCTCGGTCACCCGCTTGGTCACCCTCCTCGTCACCCTCCCGGTCACCCCCTCAGCCCATGGGCTCCGATGCAGTTCCACCTGCCTCCTCGAGAGCCACTTCACCAGGCGTGCGATCTCGGCAGGCGTCGCGGGCCACCGCTGTGTGACCCACTTTCGTCTCCCTTCCCCCGGCCGTATATTGGCTGCCGGCCCCCCCCCCCCCCCCCACCTGAAGGTCGTGGGAGAAGGGAGGGCACGGAGTGTGAAGAACAAGAACTCAAAGAGAAGACAAGAAGTGGAAGGGAGGTTCGTCAGGCGGCTGCCCCAGTGAGGGGTGGGCACAGCACACCCGCTGCTGCCAACTCCTCTTCATTCCCACCCTTCACATGAGAGTATGTATGTATGTTCAAATTAATTCGTACCGTAAGTAGCCAACCATGCTAATCGGAGGTGCAGGGGAAGGACAACAAACTAAACACAAAAAGCAGTTTTAAATAAATTAATTTTCAATCTAATATCGGAAGAGCATTCCAGACGGCCGCAGGAGTGCATCTGAAAGTGCACTGCAGTGACCGCCTTTATTCGATAGCCAGCAATGAGCCACTGCGAGAATGACTGGAGTTCGTGTGACGGTTCATGTTCCTTGACGAGATCAGTGAGGTATCGTGGTCCATTTGTGCCAAGCACTTTGGTGTGTATTCTTTGGGTCTTTCGGTAAAGCCACGTAGATAGAAAAATCAAAAAATTATCACGACATTTCGATCGCAACACAAGCAATCGTTATCAGGTGAAAAAGTATTTTCTCCTGCCTCGGCAGCTCTCTCGCTATATTTTTTCACCTGATGACGATTGCTTGTGTTGCAATCGAAACGTCGTGATAATTTTATTATTTTTCTATCTACGTGGCTTTACCGAAAGACCCAAAGAATATGAATTCCTGCAGTCACGAAAGCTTTAAGTCAACTTTGTGTGTAATGAAGGCGACCTTATAATGTACTCTTTCGGCAACCAGAAGTCGATACAGCTCGGTGAGCACTGGACGGACATGGTCGGATCTTGCAGTACCCGTCACAAGTGCCAGCAGAGCAGGTTGCGGTGTCGTCGGTGATTCCGGATATGGCGGTACATGTTTTACCGCCTGCGGCCAGAAATTTGAACTACTCAACTAACATTAAACTGTTTTCTATTTTACCAGGTAAGGCCCACTGAGCTATATAGCTCTTTTTCAGAAGCGATATGGCCACAAATGATAAATCAATGAAGTGGCTTATCATGTGGAAATTTATAGCAGCCAAATTTATAGCATCCGAATACTACGGGGAGAACACGCAAACTCCATATGTGCAGCAGGCATCAGGGTCGGGATCGAACCCACGACCTTCTGCATACCAGGCGAGGGAGTTAACATTTTGTCACCGTGGCGCACACCCCGTGGCAGTCGCCAACTTTTCATTGTCCCCCGACGTTGTTCAGCCAGAAACATCCACGTGGTGAAGAGGGTTCCCAAACGAACAACAAGAGATGATAATTGTTTTTTTACCCTTTTATCTGGCAACAAAACTGACACCTTTTTTACAAGGAGTCATGTTTGCATTGACCACAATACCTGCGGTCAGAATGCAAACAAAAAACATAACTCTGATAATGTATGCACTGTCCTTGAAATTGATTGGTCCACACCCGAGACAGCTTTCCTTAGAGCCTAGTCTCACATGGTGTTGGACCAGATGGCGCCAAAAGGCGCACAACTCAATGACAATGCACCATCAGAGTATGAGAGCTCGGGTTAAGCATTTACACCATTGGAACCTCCTTTACCAGTAGCAAAATATAATAATTGGGTTTTTATTCTTTTATCTGGCAACAAAACTGCCACCTTTTTTACAAGGAGTCATGTTTGCATTGACCACAATACCTGCGGTCGCAATGCAAAAAAAACATAAACTTTGGAAATAACATGATTTTTAAAAGATCACAAAGCTAAAGGGCCACACTCACCATAGAGACAAAATCACAGAGTGTGGCTATTCTGACAACTGAAATGTAAAAGATTATCCTTTTTCAAAAAACTTTATTTTGTCATTGTTTTTCATCGTTTTGTCCGACGTGTTTTCTTCATCTCCACAGCGTGGCTGATGCTGCTGTAGAGCAACTGCTGTGGGGTTTACATTGAGGTGGTCGGGCCAGATGAGTGTGTCAGGAGTAGCGGAGTGGTAAACCATCGCTGTGATGAGTGAGATGATGGATGAGATGATGGGTGAGATGACGGGTGAGATGGTGGGTGAGATGATGAGTGAGATGATGGGTGAGATGGTGGGTGAGATGGTGGGTGAGATGAGTGAGATAGGTGAGATGATGGGTAAGATGATGAGTGAGATGATGGGTGAGATGGTGGGTGAGATGATGGATGAGATGGTGAGTGAGATAATAGGTGAGGTGATGGGTGAGATGATTAGTGAGATGATGGGTGAGATGATGAGTGAGATGATGAGTGAGGTCCAGTTTGAGGTTCGGTTTTCTTTCATCAGAGACCCGGATGAATCTAATTCTGAAGTGTGGGTTAGTTAGATTGTTTGCGAGGTCAATGGATTAGTGTGCATTAATAATTGGGTTGGTTTATTAATAATTTTAATTATAAAAAGAAAAGAAAAAATGTAAATAATAAATTGAAAATAATACAAGCAAAAAACCCACACAGTTGATAAAGTAGATTTAAGGACATCACAGTGATAAATTAGATTTAAGGACATCATAGTGACACAGTAGACTTAAGGACATCATACTGATAAAGTAGACTAAAGGACATCATAGTGATAAAGTAGACTTAAGGAAATCATAGTGATAAAGTAGACTTAAGGACATCATAGTGATGAAGTAGACTTAAGGACATCATAGTGATAAAGTAGACTTAAGGACATCACAGTGATAAAGTAGACTTAAGGACATCATAGTGATGAAGTAGATTGAAGGACATCATAGTGATGAAGTAGACTTAAGGACATCACAGTGATAAAGTAGATTGAAGGACATCATAGTGATAAAATAGACTTAAGGACATCATAGTGATAAAGTAGACTTAAGGACATCATAGTGATGAAGTAGACTTAAGGACATCATAGTGATGAAGTAGACTTAAGGACATCATAGTGATAAAGTAGACTTAAGGACATCATAGTGATACAGTAGACTTAATGACATCACAGTGATAAAGTAGACTTAAGGACATCATAGTGATGAAGTAGACTTAAGGACATCATAGTGATAAAGTAGACTTAAGGACATCATGGTGATAAAGTAGACTTAAGGAAATCTTAGTGATAAAGTAGACTTAAGGACATCATGGTGATAAAGTAGACTTAAGGACATCATAGTGATAAAGTAGACTTAAGGACATCATGGTGATAAAGTAGACTTAAGGACATCATAGTGATAAAGTAGACTTAAGGACATCATAGTGATACAGTAGACTTAAGGACATCATGGTGATAAAGTAGACTTAAGGACATCATAGTGATACAGTAGACTTAAGGACATCACAGTGATACAGTAGACTTAAGGACATGACAGTGATACAGTAGACTTAAGGACATCATAGTGACACAGTAGACTTAAGGACATCATAGTGATAAAGAAGATTGAAGGACATCATAGTGATAAAGTAGACTTAAGGACATCATAGTGACACAGTAGACTTAAGGACATCATAGTGATAAAGTAGACTTAAGGACATTATGGTGATAAAGTAGACTTAAGGACATCACAGTGATACAGTAGACTTAAGGACATCATGGTGATAAAGTAGACTTAAGGACATCACAGTGATAAAGTAGACTTAAGGGCATCACAGTGATGAAGTAGACTTAAGGACATCATGGTGATAAAGTAGACTTAAGGACATCACAGTGATACAGTAGACTTAAGGACATCACAGTGATAAAGTAGACTTAAGGACATCAGAGTGATGAAGTAGATTGAAGAACATCACAGTGATAAAGTAGACTTAAGGACATCATCGTAATAAAGTAGACTTAAGGAAATCACAGTGATAAAGTAGACTTAAGGACATCACAGTGATAAAGTAGACTTAAGGACACCATAGTGGTAAAGAAGACTTAAGGACATCATAGTGATAAAGTAGACTTAAGGACATCACAGTGATAAAGTAGACTTAAGGACATCATAGTGATGAAGTAGATTGAAGGACATCATAGTGATAAAGTAGATTGAAGGACATCACAGTGATGAAGTAGACTTAAGGACATCATAGTGATGAAGTAGACTTAAGGACATCATAGTGATAAAGTAGACTTAAGGACATCACAGTGATAAAGTAGACTTAAGGACATCATAGTGATGAAGTAGATTGAAGGACATCATAGTGATGAAGTAGACTTAAGGACATCACAGTGATAAAGTAGATTGAAGGACATCATAGTGATAAAGTAGACTTAAGGACATCATAGTGATAAAGTAGACTTAAAGACATCACAGTGATAAAGTAGACTTAAGGACATCAGAGTGATGAAGTAGATTGAAGGACATCACAGTGATACAGTAGACTTAAGGACATCATAGTGATGAAGTAGACTTAAGGACATCATAGTGATAAAGTAGACTTAAGGACATCACAGTGATAAAGTAGACTTAAGGACATCATAGTGATGAAGTAGATTGAAGGATATCATAGTGATGAAGTAGACTTAAGGACATCACAGTGATAAAGTAGATTGAAGGACATCATAGTGATAAAGTAGACTTAAGGACATCATAGTGATAAAGTAGATTGAAGGACATCATAGTGATACAGTAGACTTAAGGACATCACAGTGATACAGTAGACTTAAGGACATCATAGTGACACAGTAGACTTAAGGACATCATAGTGATAAAGTAGATTGAAGGACATCATAGTGATAAAGTAGACTTAAGGACATCATAGTGACACAGTAGACTTAAGGACATCATAGTGATAAAGTAGACTTAAGGACATCATGGTGATAAAGTAGACTTAAGGACATCACAGTGATACAGTAGACTTAAGGACATCATGGTGATAAAGTAGACTTAAGGACATCACAGTGATAAAGTAGACTTAAGGACATCACAGTGATGAAGTAGATTGAAGGACATCATAGCGATAAAGTAGACTTAAGGACATCATAGTGATACAGTAGACTTAAGGACATCACAGTGATAAAGTAGACTTAAGGGCATCACAGTGATGAAGTAGACCTAAGGACATCATGGTGATAAAGTAGACTTAAGGACATCACAGTGATACAGTAGACTTAAGGACATCATGGTGATAAAGTAGACTTAAGGACATCACAGCGATAAAGTAGACTTAAGGACATCAGAGTGATGAAGTAGATTGAAGGACATCACAGTGATAAAGTAGACTTAAGGACATCATAGTGATGAAGTAGACTTAAGGACATCATAGTGATAAAGTAGACTTAAGGACATCACAGTGATAAAGTAGACTTAAGGACATCATAGTGATGAAGTAGATTGAAGGACATCATAGTGATGAAGTAGACTTAAGGACATCACAGTGATAAAGTAGATTGAACGACATCATAGTGATAAAGTAGACTTAAGGACATCATAGTGATAAAGTAGACTTAAGGACATCACAGTGATAAAGTAGACTTAAGGACATCATAGTGATGAAGTAGATTGAAGGACATCATAGTGATGAAGTAGAATTAAGGACATCACAGTGATAAAGTAGATTAAAGGACATCATAGTGATAAAATAGACTTAAGGACATCATAGTGATAAAGTAGACTTAAGGACATCATAGTGATGAAGTAGACTTAAGGACATCATAGTGATGAAGTAGACTTAAGGACATCATAGTGATAAAGTAGACTTAAGGACATCATAGTGATACAGTAGACTTAATGATAAAGTAGACTTAAGGACATCATAGTGATGAAGTAGACTTAAGGACATCATAGTGATAAAGTAGACTTAAGGACATCATAGTGATAAAGTAGACTTAAGGACATCATGGTGATAAAGTAGACTTAAGGACATCATGGTGATAAAGTAGACTTAAGGAAATCTTAGTGATAAAGTAGACTTAAGGACATCATGGTGATAAAGTAGACTTAAGGACATCATAGTGATAAAGTAGACTTAAGGACATCATGGTGATAAAGTAGACTTAAGGACATCATAGTGATAAAGTAGACTTAAGGACATCATAGTGATACAGTAGACTTAAGGACATCATGGTGATAAAGTAGACTTAAGGACATCATAGTGATACAGTAGACTTAAGGACATCATAGTGATAAAGTAGACTTAAGGACATCATAGTGATACAGTAGACTTAAGGACATCATGGTGATAAAGTAGACTTAAGGACATCATAGTGATACAGTAGACTTAAGGACATCACAGTGATAAAGTAGACTTAAGGACATCATACTGATAAAGTAGACTAAAGGACATCATAGTGATAAAGTAGAGTTAAGGACATCATAGTGATAAAGTAGACTTAAGGACATCATAGTGATGAAGTAGACTTAAGGACATCATATTGATAAAGTAGACTTAAGGACATCACAGTGATAAAGTAGACTTAAGGACATCATAGTGATGAAGTAGATTGAAGGACATCATAGTGATGAAGTAGACTTAAGGACATCACAGTGATAAAGTAGATTGAAGGACATCATAGTGATAAAGTAGACTTAAGGACATCATAGTGATAAAGTAGACTTAAGTACATCATAGTGATGATGTAGACTTAAGGACATCATAGTGATGAAGTAGACTTAAGGACATCATAGTAATAAAGTAGACTTAAGGACATCATAGTGATACAGTAGACTTAAGGACATCAGAGTGATAAAGTAGACTTAAGGACATCATAGTGATGAAGTAGACTTAAGGACATCATAGTGATAAAGTAGACTTAAGGACATCATAGTGATAAAGTAGACTTAAGGACATCATGGTGATAAAGTAGACTTAAGGACATCATGGTAATAAAGTAGACTTAAGGAAATCTTAGTGATAAAGTAGACTTAAGGACATCGTGGTGATAAAGTAGAC